CTGAATATTTTCCACGAACACAAACTACTTGGAATGGAACATTTTTGGAAAAAGTTGTAAAAATATCCAACATTTTCTTTTTAGCAGCTTCTTCATCAAGTCCATAAATATACATATCAATATCAGAACTGACGAATGAAGATTTATTGTGGTAATAGTCACGTATCTTATGGACATTTTTATGAAAGATTTTAGGAATTGGTAAAAGACAAGCCATAACTGAACCTCCACCGACAATAACATTATTCCAATCTAAACCTTCCAAACTTTTTTCAGTAAATAAATCCCAATTTTCTTTGAAAGAACCAATACCACCCAAAGTTATTGCAGCCTCGCCTTCCTTTTTCTTTTTGTCTGGCTCTAAAGGCATAACATAAATAGAAGTATCTTTTTCATTCTCGGGAGAATTTGTGATTTTCCAAATATCTTCATTTTCGTAAACTTTGAACATGTTCAAATATTTGTCTGATAATAAAGGGTCATTTGAAGAGGTTTTGAATAATTCACAAAAATAGGAAGCTTTTGATAGAGCCGCATCGATCCCTTGTTCATCTTTTTTGCGAAAAGCAGATAAATAATCCAAAGCAGTTTTATCTTGCATTTGAAAATATTTGTTTGTTATAACACTATAAAAATTAATATTAATGCTGGTGGTAATAATAAGTAAGTAAATTTGTTAGTAATAATTATTACTGTAAAAATTTCAATGATAAAATCTTTGGGAAAATTTGGTACTGATAAAAATATTATTATATAGGATGTTATTCCCCGTGACCTACCTCCAATAAAAAATCCGATAAATAAATAAAATAAAAATAATGTATACATGACAAAAAAAAAAATACAATAAATACTTTGTATTTATTCAACCAATAAAATTAATAAATAAAATCCCATAATGCATAAATTTTGTGAAATAAGTTAATATATAAGTCATAGATCGAGTATATAGATGTCCACCTTAGGGTGCGACACTTATTAAAATTGGAACGATACAGAGAAGATTAGCATGGCCCCTGCACAAGGATGACACGTTCAATCTTGAGTGGATAGTACCTTCGGGTACAAAATTTTTTTTTCATTTTTCATGTTAATCGTGTTGTTTTTATAACCCTTTTCAAACTATATATATTAGATCGCAAATTTTTTCTTGACATTTTAGACATTATTTATTAATCCTCTTATAAAAAAGCTTTTTCAATAAAGCATACATTATTTTCATATAGTAATGTTTTTTATAACCTAAAACATATACCCGCCAAATAATAGTCACAAAACACAAAGACCAAT